TCGACGCGCCACACAAGGGCCGGGGAAAAAAAAAAAAAAAAAAAAAGAATTAAATTCTGCAGATATACCAAGTGAGAACAAAACTAGTTTCAGAAAAGCAATATTTAGGAAAAAAACTAAAGCTTTTTTAATTTAGCTCTTAAGAGTCTCTAGCACATTTCTCACGTGTATTCACTTAACCCGGTTCCATAAGAAGGCTGAATGAAGTCCCATCTTCCTTTTATGACACCACGAGGGCGGAGGGAGTCTCGTTGAGAAAGTATTAACACTTTTGACTGTCACATACTTTGTTCATTTTTCATCCAGAATTCACACTCTGAAAAAAAGATGTGACTGTGTTGTGTAATTTTAACCAGATTATGAAAATATTTGGGGAATTATCAAAATAGTAAAAGTTCAGATTGTTTTCATAACCATGCTTTTATTATTCATTATAATTTTTTCTTATCTACTTAGTTATTTGTTTGAGGTTGTTTTTTTGTTTTGTTTTGTTTTATTTTTTGATACCAGGGATCCAGCTTGGGTCCTTGCAATTGCGAGGCAGGTGGTGGAACCACCAAGCTAAATCCCCCGCCCTGAGGTTGTTTTTTTGTTTGTTTGTTTTTTAATTCCCTCTACCTTAAGAAATAAAATATTGCAAAATACTTTTAGAGTCACAGTGCCCCTCTCCAGTTGCATTTCTCTCTTGTCCCTTTAGGTAACCACTCTCCTGGATTTAGTGTTTTCTGTTTTCTTGTTGTATAGCTGTTGTTTTGTTTTGTTTTTTGTTTTGGTCCCAGAGATTGAACTCAGGACCTTGTGCTTGTGAGGCAGGCATTGTTGCCACTGAGCTAAATCCCCAGCCCATATTTTCACTACATTTTTTTGGGTTTTTTTTGATACCAGAGATCAAATTCAGGACATTGGGCTTGGGAGCAGGCTTCCACACCACTGAGCTAAATACCCGGCCCCCTGTTTTCTTGATAATCTAAATTTTTTTAAATATATGGATATATCTCTTAAAAGCTATGACGTATAGATTTGTTTATTTATCAACTTTATATAAATACAAATATACTATATAGACTACTCTTTTTTTAAGTCAATATTTTGTGTTATATTTCAGATATTCTAAGTTTGTAGTTCATGTCTTTTATGTCCTCCATTGTATAGATACACCACAGTATATATCTTCATTCTGCATTCAGTGGTCCATCTGGTTACTTCTGTCGTCTTCTACTATAGTTCTTGGTGCTAAAAACATTTTGGAACATCTCTCCTGTTCCACATGTGTAGTGGTAACCTGCCAGTAGAATGACTAGGTTGGATAATTGTACATTCAACTTTACAAGGAGATGCTTCATTATGTTGGAAAGTGTTGACACCACTTTCTACTCCCACAGTAATGAATGAGAAGTACCATTTACCCCGCACCTTGCCAACCATTTGTTGGCTTTTACTTTTAATTTTTGTGAGACTGGTAGGTATAATAAGTGTTATATTATAGGAAAATGGATGCATATTGAGGATATACTCTTAAGTGAAATAAATAAGTCACACCTGTGTAAATACCAAATAGTTTCTCTGGTGTGAAAAGCTATAATTGTAATAAGATCCTAACGGTATAATTAACAATGTGAAATAGGAAGAAAAGGGCTAAAGGTGTAGGGGAAGTGGGAAGGGTAGGGGAAAGGAAATAAGGGGAAAGAAAAAAAATATGAGAAAATGAAAACATGGAACTAAAGTGTTTGTAAATAGGGAAGGGAGGAGGGGGTGAAGGGTGGGCAGGGGTGTGGGGAAAAAATGAGAACCAAGAACTGTCATGTAAAGGTACAAGATCCCAATGATGAATGTAACTGTACTGTGTACCTAAAATGTACCAATAAACTCAATGAGGAAAAAAAATGTGTTATATCCATTTCCCTGGCAACTAATGACTTTGAGGCAGTGATGGGCTGGGACCAGTGGATGACTGCATGCATCGCCATGTTCAGTGACGTTGGGTTGTCAGTTTGAAGTAGGCTTTGATTGAAATATTTATACCCCCAATGCTATAAACCAGGGTTTTGCTCCCAACCGCCAACACACAATTGAACATATATTTATGTATTTCTGAGGCATTTGTGTTTCTATGTGAAATGTCCCTTTGTGTCTTTTTTTTACCACTTTTGCATTGAGTTTTTTTGGGGGGGTGGGTAGAGGTGTGTCAATGATTCTAGCACTTATCAATACTTTATTAGGTTATATGTCTCAAAATTACTCCCAAACACGTGGCTTGCGTTTTCATTCTGTGCTGAAATGAACAAGAGTCCTTAATTTTTATACGGTCAAACTTTTTATTTCCCTTGGGTGGAAATTTTAAAAGTTCTTATCTCCAGAGAGATAAAGAGTCTCCTTTATTTTTGGGCCAAAAGTTTTAAATTTTCAATCTGTCTGTAATTGGTTTTGTGGCCCTGCATAAAGTGGGGATGCCTTTTTCATTATTTCTTTACTCCGAATGTATAACTGTCCCACCACCAATTATTGAGAAGCTCCTTCTTTCCTAGTTGAGCTGCAAACCAGGTTTCCTGTATCAAGGTTTCATGTGTATGTGGATCTCTGTTCTTTCAATGGTCTATATTTATTCCTCTGTGAAAAACACAGTACGTTATTTACTATATCTTGTAAAACGAATCTTGATATCTAGTCATACTGCCTAGTTCTTTTTCTTTTAAAAGTGTACTGACTGTATGACACTTTCTTCTTTCATCTATTTTAGACTCAGTTTAGGAAGCCCAGCAAAAGAAAACCAATTGGAATTTTTACTGAAATTTCCTCAACTATATTTGGCAAGAACTTACCTATTTATGATTGTCTTTATTTATGAACACCATCGAGGCACAGAAAGGTTAATTGCATTGTGGCCAGAGAATACAGTGTACAGAATAATCACTCCTCAAAAATCTGTTGATGTTTGCTTCGTGGCTTACTACTTGGTGATCACAGAAGCGGTAATTGATCTAGAATAGAAAAGAGCTCTGCAGTTGTTGGATACTCTCGTTCTGTATACTCCCCTAAAAGGGGCATTAGGGGTTTATTCCTTCTCTATATTCGTTTTTCTGCCTGCTTGAGCCATTGGTTACTAATGTTTTAAAAAATTCTCTTTTGGTTTCTTTTTAAAATTTTTATTTACGCATTTTGGAGTAATGTTTTCAGATGAATTCGGGCTTGGAATTATGTCATCATCTTTTATGAAAATGTCACGACTCTTCTATTTAGCAATCTCTTTTTCCCTTACTGCCTGCTTTTGATTGATTTCACGTAGTCACACAACTTTCTTTTGGTTGGTGTTTTTTCATCCTGTTTATTTTTTATCCATTTGAACTTTTCAGTGTCCTTATATTTTAATTATATCTATGATAAACAACACGTAGCTGGGCTTTTCCCACCATTTATTAAGCTTTGATTGGTAATTGGAAGGATCTTTCTATTTATACCCTTCTATTTAGTAAGTCATCTAGCTTCATTTCCACCCTCTCATTTTGTTCATTTTATTTGCCTTGTGTATCCTAATTATTATTTTATTTTGTGCTTTTTTTTAATGGATTCAAGTTTCTTCTTTGTCCTGCTGCCTAATTACATACATTTCTCTGTTCTGGTTTAGAACTTCTATTTTTTAATGATTATTCTAGAAATTTTAACATTTAACTAGTTGTAAAATGAATCAGTGACTTTCCTCCTTCTAAATGTTGTATGTACTTTAGAATAATCATCTCTACTTACTCAAATTCTGTTTTTGTTAATGTTTTAGCTGTCTTGATTTTCTACATTTTTGCCTTTTGTTTTATTTTGGTTTTTGTTTTGTTTTCAGTGGTGGTCCTCAGAGTTGAGCTCGTGACTTTTTGCACCAAGCAGATATTCCAAGACATTTTTATTTATTTTTTTAATTTCAAGACAGGGTCTCAGTAAGTCACTAAATTTCCCAGGCAAAATTTATTTAGATTGACTCTTTGTTTACCATTCCCTGTATTCAGCATTCTTCCTTACTTCTCAGACTTTCGTGCTAAGATCATTTCCTTCCTAAAGTACATCATATAGGAATTCATATACTGAAGATCTATTGGTAAATTCTCCATTTATCTGTAAAATGTCTTGATACAACTCTTATTCTTGAAGTATATTTTGGCTACATTGAGAATGTTGTTGATTTTTAAATTCTTTCATCGTTTTTATTTCATCGTTGTGATGTCAGCGATCAGTTTGCGATCTCCTCTATATGATTTTAAGATCTCTTTGACTTTGATATTCAGTATTTTTCCTCAGTGAGTCATGTGTTGATTTATTTTAATTTATGCTGTTAGAGATTCTTTGTGTGCCTTGGTCTGAGGAATGTAGTGTCTTTTGCTGTTTCCAGAAAAACCTAAGCTATTTTTTTTCATTCGTTCTAGTTGCACTTCTGTAACGAGAATATATATATATATATATATAATCGATCTTGCAGCTGTTTTCTCCTGACCTCTTCTCCTCTGTTCATATTTCAATTTTTGTATTTCTATTCAGCTATAAGAAGTTTCTTTGCCTTTGTCTTCCAGTTTACTCTTTCTCTTTTCAGCTGTAACTAATTGGATGTTAAACCCATAAATCAAGCTTGAGGGGGAGGTAGGGTTTGGGAAAAAATAGGCAAGATATACCATGTACAGGTGCAAATTCCCTATGATGAGTGTTATTATGTATGCCTAAAATGTATCAATAAATGTTTTGCTATTAAAAATAATAAATGTGAGTTCAATCCCCGGTACCAAAATAATAATAATAATAATAGTAATAATAATAATAAATGTAATTATGACTACATTTTTATTTTTTCCACTTATTTTTGTCATCTGGGTTCATTTGGATAGCTTTCTTGTCCCTTTATTACACAGTTCTTTCTTAAATTTTAAAACATATTTATATCACTTTTATTGCTAAGACAAAATACCCAACATTCACAAGTTAAAGGAGAAAAGATTTATTTCAGGTCACAGCTTGTAGGGGTTTCAGTCATAGTTGGCTCCAAGGCAGGATGCCATGGCAGGGGAAAAATAGGAAGGAGGCAGCAGGAAGCCTGCCTTCCATCGTTCCCTTTCTGATCCATCCAGCTTCAAGCTATTGATCGGCACTACCCACATAGGGTGGGTTTTCCATTATCCATACCCAGAACTATGCTAAACCAATTTAGTTATCATACAGCCTTCAGTGCAATTCAGCATCCCACACTATGATCCAGGCACCTTCCAAAATCTACACCTACGAGTGCATGAGGCTTGGGCGGGGGTTATACCCAAGCCATGACAATGTTAAACGTAATTACTTTGTATTATACATCTGACCACTCTGATATCTGCTTAGCTCTGATCCTATAGTGTTTGCTGTGGTGGTGGTTTTCATTGTTTTATGGTACTGAGGATTGAGCCCACGGCCTTCACAGTGAAATTCATCCCAGCCATTTTCTTTCTTTTCTTACTCCCCTTCTTCTTATTCTTATTACCATTCCTCCTCCTCATCCTCCTCCTCCTTTTCTTCCTCTTCCTTCTCCTCCTCCTCCTCCTTTTTCTTTGATAGGGTCGCCAATGGCTAAGTTGCACCGGCCAGGCTCAAACTTGCAATTTCTCCTGCCTCACCCTCCTCAAATGCAGAAATTACATTGTGTACCACCATGCAAGGCATAACCTAGTGTATTTCTTTTAGCTAACTTTAATTCATGGAGCTTATTTCTTCATATGTTTAGTAATTTTATTTTCAGCTTTAATTGAGTTTATTGGTACATTTTAGGGATACAGTACAGTTACATTCATTGTTGGGATCTTGTACCTCTACATGACAAGTCTTGATTCTCCTTTTTTCCCCTTATCCCTGCCCTCCCTTCACCCCCTCTTCCCCTCCCCATCTACAAATACTTTATTTTCATCTTTTCATTATTTTTTTTTTACTGTGAGGTCATGTTCTATTGACATTTTATTTGGGGATTCTTTGAGATCTGAGTTTAGAAAACAGCTCTCCAGAGGAATTTTGTTTTTGTTTTTACTAGTATGGGAACAATTTAAACTAAATTTTTAGATCATGAATTTTCAGGCCCCCCAGGTAATATAAATTCAGGCCCCAAACTTGCGTGAGTACAGGCTTGTGGTTAGAAATGATTCAGGAGAGACTTATTTTTCTCACTCACCAGAGCCCAAATCAAGGCAGTGCTTACTTCTGTGAAGACTGTTTCCTCCTAGTTTACCCATTAAAGTTCTTCCGCTTGTTGTTTGTGACTGCTGAAAGTCTAAACTGCGGGCCACCAGGGATCAGCATCACTCTCAGAGCAAATTATGCTTTGGTGCTCTCTCACCCCAGTGGCTTCTCTCTGCATTTCTACCATTTGCCTCCATAGAATTCCTTTATTTCCCTGCTAGCTCCACCTCATGCTGTATTGCATTACAGTGTGTGCGTGTGTGTGTCCAGTGTTTTTACTTCTGTGGTACTAGTAAGGGATTCTATCTGCATCCTCTGACAAAATCACAAGAGATGTGTAGCAACAAAAAAAAAAATAAATGAAGTGGTAATATTCAATGTAAGCTTGTGAAAATTGAAAATAGGAAACCATAATGTAAAAATCAAAGCTATGGGTAAGATGCTACCTTTGATATCTCATTCTAGGGAAGTGTTCAGGATTTAAGAAAAAGAATCACAGTGCTTGACTGTCAATTGCGGAAGTCAGAAATGGCTCGAAAAACCTTTGAAGCATCCACTGAAAAGCTCCTTCATTTCGTAGAGGTAAGTTTTTTTTTGACACACTTGGCTCTCTCTCTCTCTCTCTCTCTCTCTTCAACATCTGTGGATTTAACCAACCACAGATCCAAAATATTCAGGAACCAAGAAATTCCAGAAAGTAGCCAGTTATGGTGATGCACACCTGTAATCCTAGCACTTTGTGGGGCAGAGGCAAGAGGATCACAAGTTTGAACCCTCCTGAGCAACTTAGTAATTTAGCAAGACTCTGTCTCAAAAACTTTTAAAAGGCTGAGAATGTCGCTCAGTGCAAAGACTTTGGGTTCAATCCACCATACCAAAAAAAAAAAAAAAAAATCAAAAGTTCTGAAAAGCAAGATTTGAGTTTATCACCCACCAGGCACTACACAATCCACACAAATGAAGTGATAGGTAACCTCCCACCCTTTCACAGATTCTCAGACACTCTCCAGGACTGATTGCTTGAACATCCTTCATTTGTATTCTGAATAGTTAGGCATACAATGGTTCCTTCTGTACTGAACATAATACAGATTTTTTTTTCTTATGATAACTGGATAAACATAGAATATAACAGCTATTTACATAATCTAGAGGTGAGTTCAAGTTCATGGGGCTAGACGTAGGTTATTTGCAGATGTGCTATCCAGAAATTTTATAAGCAACTTGAGTATCTGTGATTTTATTATTCTGGGAGGCCCGAAACCAATCCCCTACAGATACTAAGGGGTGACTGTGTAGTATATTATGTTCGTTTTTAAGAAATATATAAGCAACTGATGTAGATAAATACTGCAGTGTTTGGTGGCATAAATATGTTTTCTGGTCTCAAAACAGCAATGCTGACTTATAGTCAGATTTAGACTTGCCTTGATAATGAAAAGACTGGCTAACATTATATAGATTATTAAGAGAAATACTTGAGACAGAGTAACATGATCTCAAATATATACTGTTTTTAATGAGTGCTTTCCTAAAAGTACTGATACCATGTAAGTATGATTTCATAAATATTAACCTTATAACCTTGTGTTTTTATAGCTATTATATTCCTGAGTAAAATTGCATGTTAATACAATGTATTCTCCGAAATAACAGAAACCTCTGTTTACTCAACAGAGAGGGACTTTGTAAATATTAATTATGCACGCAAGAAAAGACATTTTTTAAAAGGGTCAAACTTTCTTGTCTCCTCCTTCTTATTTGTTGCTAGACTATTCAAGAAGTATTTTCTGATAATTCTTCTGCTTTATCAAATTTAAGGTAAGAATATTTAAGTACTTTCTACAGAGTATATCCACTAATTAAAGTAGCCCTCCAGAAATTGTAACCAATATACTAAAAATCTCTTACATGGTCTTAAGATGTTACATAATTACCATTTGATGCCGTTCATTAATGCCTTGAAAATAAGTACAAGGACATATTGGTTTTGATCACATCTCTGTAAAAGAAGTTTCTGGAAATAGTTGATCAATCATTGTACACTCGTATTCTGAAATTGAGGTAGAGATCACTTATCCTGTTGTCAAGAATTCTGTAAATATGAGATTAGATTGAAGTCCACAAAGCATCCTGTGTGTGAATAATTGTTAGTGATCACAGGTGTCGTGCTAAGGGTCAGCATCAAACAAGGAGATCAGTGATTTTGTCAAGTAGAATTTTGTATAAACGCATTGATGCAATCAGTTTCTTTCGTTTTCATCATTTGGTAGATAAAAATAAAATAAATATGTTTGGAGGATACACCTGGACTTCCTTATTAGTCATAATGTTTCAGATTTCTAGTTTCTTACTTGGAACTACAAATACACAAATAACATTCATTCCAAAGCACAAAGTTATGGTCATTCTAATTCATGATGAAAGACATATACAGCTGAGACGTTCCTGTTTGTACATTTTAGAAGTAGTTTTCCCTCTCATCTTATAATAACTGCAACTGATTCTAAATGTCTTGTTCTCGCAGTATCATTTTCAGAAACATAGGAAAATTGTACCCTTTAGTTTGAACACAACATTCTAATAAAGCAAATAAATGAAGATACCTTAGGTTTCCATGTAGCTTTTTTTAAAAAATTAGAATATCTACAGTGGTCACTTTTAAGTTCATTTTAATGTAATGTTTTATTTCTTGTAATGATGGAATCTGTTGTTATTCATTCTGCTTATGATATAATTATATGAAGTCGGTGCCATAATTATGATTCTCAGTAGGGATCTCAAAATACTCATATTTCCCTTACATGAGTTACTTGTGTCCCCCAGCACCACCACTCTCCAAGTTTTTGTTGTGCCCTGCCTAATTAAAAGAAATTTGATACTAAATCAACAGACATCAAAATTAAGGAAACTGTTTAAAAGCCTGGGCCTGCTCTTGCTTTAAACTATCTATTGGGAAAAAAGCAATTTTAAACAGCTACGTTAAGCAACTTTTCATCACACCTCGAAAAGATAAACATTAGCAAAATCTGGTTCAGGCTCTGTAATGTACCTATACCTTCTGTACAAACACTGGAGGCAAGTCTGTGTCTTTTAATTTGAAAATTGATTCTTCATTTTCTCCTTAAGACAGTGGACTGTAATTGATGGTTTTATAATAGTGTAAAGTTGTCTCTTCAAGTATAAGTTTTATAGAATGTTTTTTTAGGGACAATCTTGTGTGTTTAATTATATCAGAATGTATTCATTTCCGATGATGACATTTGATTGTTTTTTTTAAGTGACATAAGTGCTGTAGGCTGTTTTAGAGTTGATAACAAGTGGAAGAGTTTAAGAAATAATTTCAGGAATAAATGTATATATCAAATTTATATCCTTACTATAAGTAATAGTATATACCTCTCTAGTAAATTTGTTTATATACTTAAATTGAATTTAAAAAAAAAAAACAACAAAAAAATGGCTGTACCATGTTAGCAAAACACACACACACATTGACAAAACAGGCCCACAGATTGCTTTAGGAGAGAGGCCATCCTTCGTTTCCTTTCTCCCTATGTTTGGAAAATCAACTTAATTTTTAAGATATTCCTATTTATTGTATAATAAAGGATTGAAAGCAGAAGTACTGCTCTGTGTAAATTACTTCATGGATGGCTGTAAGAATGCACTTTCCCTAGAAATGGAAAATGTTTATACAAATTTATAACAAATACAAATTCAGATTTAGCAAAGACGGGTATTGTTTGTTACATAACACTTTCAAGTTTGTTTCATTGCCCCCGCAGTGAAAGAAGAACCATGCTAGCTTCTCAGACTTCCCTCACGCCACTGGGGAGGAACGGGCGGAACATCCCAGCCACCCTGGCCCTGGAATCTAAGGAGCTCATCAAGTCTGTTCGTGCCATACTTGATACGGATTGTAAGTTCTCCCGATTGCTTTCCCCTTTTTTCCATTACTCTCTTAACAAAACAAGAGAGAAATTCAAGTCTCCCAGTTTAATTTCATGAGATACGTTGGCTTGCCTAAAGTAAAATTGATAACTAATCCACAAAAAGCTCAGTGCACCAATTGTAGGAGAGAAATATTTGATTCATTCTTAGAGTTTAAATGTCTTCTAACTGATTGAGATGGGATAAATATAAGAATAAATGCAGAGCAATGCTGAAAAGTCGGAAGGGTTCAATCAACATTGTGGAGTTTCAAAATAATAGCAAACAGATGGAGTAACAATGAAGGTACAACCCAGCTGAGCAAAAGATCCCAAGACAGGTGAAAGACAGACTGCTGAAACAGTGTGTTCGATGGAACCATTTGCGGGTGGCATCTGCAGGATCACAGTCAGGGAAGACCCGGAAAAGATTCTGGGACAGTCAATATGGTTGTTAATGAAAGTCCTGGGGATAAGCTGAACTAGGTCCCTTGTCTTCAGAGCTGCTGGCTCAGTCATTGACACCTCATCCAGGGCCAAGAGAATACAGTTTTTAGGAACTATACATGTTCTGTCACTGCCTACCCCTAGAGTCAGCATTGGACTAGAAAGAGAAGCAGAATAATGCTCTAAGTAACTTCCAGCATCTCAACAGATAGAAATCCTTGGGGGAAAACTTAAGTTATTAGACATTTTCATCTTTCCCTTCTCCTGTCTCCCAGTACTTTTGCCTCTTATTTCAATTCCCTTTTTATAACCACTAACCTAACCCTTTATTTCCCTGCAGTGAAAATTATAGGCAATTTCCCACCTCTATCCATTATTTATAAAAATCAATAACATGTCCTAACTGTATTATAGGGAAAAAATTAGAGGAAGGTGCTCTGTAATAAAACAATATATATTTCAGTAGGTAAATTTTGGGTACAGCTATGCTGGAAGATATAATATCTCAGATGCTGGCTTGCACCTATGCATACAGCCTCCACAAATATGATTATAGACTGATGAAGGGACATTGTAATTTCAACTTCAGTGGCACATGGATATTGCCATCAGTAATATGATTGTCCATAACAATGAACGACTCTTGGTAAACTCTGAACAAAAGCAAATAAAATCTTTTATCAATTTTCCTAGTGACTGACAAGCCTGGAAAAGTTAATGTATATTAAAACCATGCCAAAAAATGTGGAGTTCGTCTGAAAACAGAGTTATATTCCAGTCTCACATAACCAAATGGAAATTTTTTAACAACCTGAATCAGAGAGATGTGTGACAGTTAACTGTGTGAATTTGACTAGCACAGGCCCTGCCAAGGGAAGTAAAAACACTTCTGGGTGTGTCTGGGTGCAGCATGTGTACATGATTTGCAGTACAGTATCTGGTCCCTGGGCTCTTCTTCTCTGGCACTGACCCTTGCTCTGCTTGGCCAACATGAATTGAGGAGCTTGACTCCACCAAACCTTTCCACCATGATGTATCTGTTTTGGATGACCGTGGACTGCATCCTCTGAATCTATGAGCCAAACTAAACCTCTCCTCCTTTCATTTGTGAGTGTTAGGCATTTGTCCCCACCAATGGGAAAGTTGACTAATCCAAGGATGTGGAACATAATGTTTGTTGTGCAGGACTATCCAGTGCTTTCTATAATAGGATGGTTAGCCTTCCTGTTGCTCTTCCTCTCCAGGCCCAAAATACCCCCAAACACTGTGACAAAAGATAATGCCTCAGAAACTTCCAAAAATGTTCCTGGGTATAATAACATACTAAGAACCTCTAATATTGACCTTCTCTTCTAAATAATGAATAATGAATAAGAATCATGTAATAATGGTCTATGGATAGGAAGAGCTACATAATAGGGATATTTTAGACAAATAAAAAAATAGTCAATTAAAGAGAATATAATGTTTTGAACGTAACTATATTTTTGAACAAAATGTAATTGTACCTAAGGAGTCAATAAGATAGTATATTTATAAGACATAGCTTCCATAAAAAACTTTGAACAGAACTTTTGAAAGTAATTTTAAATATCTTTGTCTAGTGCACAAAATACATAGTTACCACTCAAAATACAGAATTACCACTCAAAATTTGTTACAAAGACCAAATAATATAATTTTTATAAAGCAACTACCCCTACCACATTTCCTTGCACAAAACATATTTTGAATTGTAGTTGAACTTCATACATAACATTAACTTTTTATTAGCTGTTCTATCCGCCATCGCTGTATAACAAAAACCCCAAAACTGAATGGCTAAAAAAAACAATTAGTATTATTGCTGTATGATCCCGTTGGTTAAATGAGGTTGACTAGGCAAGTTCTTCTTAGGGAGCACTCATTGGTTACAGTTAAGGGTCTGCTGAGATTTCAGTCATCTGATGCCAGTCCCCGGTAGGCGTGCCAAATGAGAGCCCAGTGTGGGATAAAAACTGCAACACCAAAGTATCCATGGCCTCTCTAGCAAGCAGTCCGCTAGGTAGTTAAATTTATTCTGTGGGGATTAAACTTCAGCACAGATATTTAAGTGAGCAAGATAGAGGCTCTATCCATTTATAAACCAACCTCAGAAGTCACTCAGCCTCCCTTCCAACATATTCTTTTGATCATTCAACAGAAAGAGGCTGTTATGGCTTGCATGGAGATGTCCCTCCAAAGCCTCATATGGTCATGGGTGGAAGTTTTGGGAGGTGGCTGGATGTACAGTGTGTGATGCCAAGATTGATTCGAGGTGTGATGCTAGGATTAAAGTTACCCACCCTGGGTGTGAGTGCTACCCACCCTAAGGGCAGATAGCCTGGATAGAATGTAAAGCACAGAAAAAGGGCTGCTGTTGCCTCTTGTCACTTCCTGCTTGTTACTTGCTGCTTGCTGCTTCACTGCTGGCTACCTTCTCTCTGCCTTGCTTTGCCATGAACTGTTTCTCCTCTGTGGTGTCCCTCTGCCATGCCACCCTGCTTTGGAGCCAGCTGACTGTGGACTGAAACCTTTACAAACTGTGAGCCAAAATGAGCCTTCCCTCCTTTACCTTTGAGTGTTAGGTATTTTGTCTCAGCAACAGCAAGGAGAAAAATAACTAAGACAAGGGCTTCTACTCCACGCCGGGATGAGGAAGTGGCAAGATCACATTGTAGAAGAGCATGTAAGCAGAAGTCATTCTTGTGATCATCTTTGCAGAATACAGTTAACGTTTGTCAGATATGTTAGTTTAGTTGTGATGTCTCAATTTCATTTTTACAAGTATCCTTTATATACGGCCTGTTAGTAGATATTTGATCTATTTTGTCATTGTTTCTTTCCTTAGTGTCTATCTGCTGATTGTCTAGTGAACAGATATATAATGTTAAGTGAAATAAGTCATGCACTCAAGCTTAAATGTTGTACGTCTTCTTTTATATGAGAAAAACCAAAGTATAAATAATTTAAAGAGCAAAATTAGGAAACAACAAAATAGATCTTTTGCAAATAAGAAGGGAGCCAAGAGATGGAAGCAGAGCGGAGGGAAAGGGCAAGTAAAAGGAATTAAGATGTGTTATGTACATGTGCCAACTCCCCATGAGGAATGCAGTCATTGTGTAGTACCATCATGGACTAACGCATTTGTTTTTATTTCTTAAAAAAGCAAAGATAAATGAATGGGTAGGTGGATGGGAGAATGGATGGAGGATAGACAGAAAATATTCTACTAATTGTCAAAGTAATAAATTTTGAATATGGTTCTGGGTAGTAAATAGCTTGGCTTGATGGAGAGTAACTTTTAAAGACCTTTTGGGCCATTTTTGATTTTAAAAATACGTTAATCAGGATTGGCAACCTGGTCTCTAATAGGTATCTGCTCACTCTATACAATTAGTGTATTTTTAAAATTTTGAATAATCTAATACATGTTTAAAAAAGCAAGGTACATGTCAAAAACCCCTACGAATTCATTATGGAAAGAAATTCTGTGGGCCCTTCACAGGGGTAAAAATAATGTGTTACACATAAGCTCAGAATTTCGTGTATCAAATGTTTTCATGCTGGGAAGGGCAGAGTGGAGGGGAACACCTGCGAAGGCATAGACCAATGGACACTGCCATCGTTAATGTTAATCACTTTGCTAACATTAACCTTCATTTCTGCCAGACATGATTATTCAAAGAAAATACTTGAAATTCGGCAGAACTTCTTTGAAAGGGAAGAGAAAAATTACATGTGCATTTTTTACCCTTTTCAAGATTATACGTACCTTGCCATTTAAAACTGACAATTTCTGTGTTGTTTCTTTTTATTTAAAATACAACTGCTAATGTTGGCATATTTCACAAGTAGTTAAAAAAAAAACTTTATCAGACATATCTTGTTAAGTTAAATAATTCAGAGAAACTCAGCTCATTTTTCTTCTTCTTAAGCAGTGGGGTTTTCTATGTGTACAATGGGAAACAGAGCATTATGACATTGAGATAGATAATTTAGCCACAAGCCCCATTTCATTTCCTTTGCCATAGCTATCTGGTTATTTCAAGATAGAATTTGAAATGTCCACTTGGGTAAGTGCCTCCACTTTGGCTTAATAAAAGTGTACGCTAGGATGTCACATTATAGTTTTTCCTCAGAAAGCTGAAGTGTAAGATTCCTTGAGTTTTATAGCTTAAAACCAGGCTCTAAGGCCTACCTAAGAAGACAGACCCTTTCTGGATCTGAAATCTGATGAAGGCCTTGTTCCCAAAAAATGTGCATTTTCATATGTTTCACCTCAATTTTCAGGGTATCTGTGAACCCCAACTAAGAACCCCTCTCACAGGGAACATAAATGCTCGCGACGGCATTGCATACATGGCCCTTCTGCCTTCATCAGATGCCTGTGGAGAAGTGTGCTGGGCAAGCTATGTAAAGGGTAGGCCCCTGCACCTTCTGTGTCCCCTGGAGGTGCCCCATAATGGCTCATCCAACTTCAATGATTAAAATAAAAAAACTTGTGGGTCTATTTCTTCATATA